TCTTCTTCTTCTTCTTCTTCTTCTTCTTCTTCGTCGTCGTCGTCGTCGTCGTCGTCGTCGTCGTCGTCTTCGTTGTCCTCTTTGGCCTCTTCTTCTTCTTCTTCTTCTTCTTCTTCTTCTTCTTCTTCTTCTTCTTCTTCTTCTTCTTCTTCTTCTTCTTCTTCTTCCTCCTCCTCCTCGTCCTCCTCCTCTTCCTCTTCCTCTTGCCCCAATGTCGGACGCATGAATGCATGGCAATCAGAGGGCAAGGCCTGAATGGCCGTCTTGCTCAGGTGGTCCGTGAGGTGGATGCGGGAGTGTGGCAAGCCCACTGACAAGTCCTGATGCGCAATCAGGCGAAAGAGTTTGTCATACCTGTGTAGGTGCTGTTCAGCTCATTTTCTGGACATATGGATGCATAACAGTCAGCCTCGCTGTTTCAATTCAATTCAATTCAATTCTTCTTCTTCTTCTTTCTTTCTTTCTTTCTTTCTTTCTTTCTTTCTTTCTTTCTTTCTTTCTTTCTTTCTTTCTTTCCTTCTTTCTTTCTTTCTTTCTTTCTTTCTTCATTATGATCATTCACCCATCACCGCCAAGATGGTGATGAGTGATGGTCCCCGGTGGTTAACACTTGGGTAGGACAGGGGGGGTGGGGGTGCGCCAGGGCAAAAGGATGAGAGGAAGGGTGGGTGGGGTCTTCGGAGGGGTTCATCTGGACAACTGAATGGCCGATTACTCTGGGTGACTGTCATCTGTCTAGTATCCCACCTCTAACAAACAAACAAACAAACAAACAAACAAACAAACAAACAAACAAACAAACAAACAAACAAACAAACAAACAAACAAACAAACAAACAAAAGAAAAAAAAAAAAAAGAAAAAAAAAATCCCTTCAGGATTCAAACTCGGGTCTGCTTTCAAACGGATATATGGGAGTAGCCATTCAGCCACATGGGCTGGGGATCTGCTTTTGAGCAGTTGCATGGGCATAAGCATTGATTCATGTTGTTGTTTTTCAGGCCGCCAACCTTGTTTTGATTCTTTTATGGTCCGCCTGCAGGTTGCTTGAAGCAGGTGGTTCCGTTATGTCTTTCGGCGAACCAGTCACAGGAATAAACCCTGATATCAAAATTACCCCATTGCGGTGCAGTGTCCGGGTCATACGACCTGCATTCTACTGGAAGGTACGAATGAAGTAGGCTTCACAGCCAAGGCTTTCCTTGTTCTCCTTGCCGTCTGTCTTGACCTCCTCTGCTCTTCTTGTACTGCTAATGCTACTCGTGCTCTTCCCTAGGTTTACCAAACAGGGAAAGTTGAAGTTGTCCATGGTTGTCATGGCTGCTTGTTTACTCGTGCTCTTCCCTGGGTTTACGAAACAGGAAAGATTGAAGATATATATCCCCATGGTTGTGATGGTTATTTGATTGCAAATGATTTGCAAGGGTGGTATGAAAGCTTCCTACGTCAACCTGCATGTGATCACATGCACACAACCCCACGCACAACTGTTCTCTGTCACAGACAACCAATTAAATCATCAAAACAATCATACATTCAATCGATCAGATTACGAATAGACATTAAGCACGGACCCTGCTGTCCGACATGTCCAGTGTGCCGCTGCCTCTTCACAGGGGTTTCCTCATCATCATGGTTCATACTCATAAACTCGAGCCAACGGCAGTGTCTACCACCGTGCTTATAAGGCCTGCAAGGTCCTACGGCTAGCATGGCTGCAAACTAGCGACTGTGTCTCACATATAGGGTGTCTGCAAGGTCAGTGTCTCGCAGATAGCTCTAATAGTGTGTGTGTCTGCAAGGTCTTACCACTGCCGTCTTGACCGCCGGAATAGGACGCCTGTTTGTTATTGTTGTATCTAGACTGAAGTTGCCCCTAATACAGAGATAAATGACTGGGCGTTCTATTCAGGTTAAGATGGTAGCATAGCTCTGTATCTTGCCTACTGGCCTCTAAACCCGTGTGCTGCCGTCCATCCAATGCCAAAGCGTAACGAAGGAAAAAGGGACTGAAATGCGCTTGTTTAGACACCATTTATAACACCTACACTGATCCTTCTTCTTAGTGCCATGGGTAGCGAGCGGTAGTACCATCCGGAAAATGTAACACAACACTTGGTCCAACTTATCGTCTGCTCTTGGCCCTCAGCCGTTCCCATCTGCTTTTTTTTCTTCTAAACTATTCTAAGACCAAAGGCAACGCCTTTGGTATTTTCCCTTAAAATAACTGGTCGACGGTCCAGGACTACTTTGTATAAAAAAAGCATATCCAACAAATCAACGAAAAGTGAAGCACCACAGATCACAGGTTCAAGTTTCTTAGTTTCCGCAGTACGAATCTCAGAGGTCTCATCACAGCGTCAACCAACCAACTAAGCATCAAATCTCATACGCATGACTTACCCATACTTCCCCCATTAGACTCGTACGTATGTCTGCTAAATTTACATCAAATCCTCAATCATACAGCTTAACGTCAAGACTCACTGCACTCGTGAGCAGACACAAATTGGCTCAACACCGTTATTTATACTATACGACGTATACGTCAAATCCTCCATCCAACAATTTAATGTCAAGACTCACACATTCGCTGACTATACTCAATCTGACTCATTTGCCATCAATATTGACCCATGCATTCCTCGATTCAAACACACAACACAAGATCACATAGCTTGAAAAAAAAAAAAAAAAAAGGAGAAAGGAAGGCAAAGAAAAAGAAAAAAAGATCACATAGCTAATGTATCTCGTACATGTGTGCGCCGACACATTCATCAGATCCATCATTCTCTTACCATATATGGTCGATTGTGCAGCGATCAAGTTCCGCACGTTGGATGGACAGATGTCAAACTGTTTCAGGGACCCATTGAACATTTCCGCTGCCTCCTCAGCTCCGGTTATGGAGCCGCAACTGCATACGCCAACCTCTCTGAGTGTTACATGCTGCGGCTGCAACAGGCTGCACGGGCCATTTTCAGGCCCGTGTCGTTTTCAGCCTGAAAGCCTGAAAACAAGGCCCTACAGGCCCTGTGTCGTTTCAGCCTGAAAGCCTGAAAACAAGGGCCTACAGGCCCTGTGTCGTTTCAGCCTAAATCAGGGCCTTTCCGGCCCTGAGTCTTTTCAGCCTGAAAGTGAGGGCCATTTTCAGGCCCTCATAAGATCGACCTGCCCTGAAACTCAGGCACCAGACCAGGGTTTTAGCACAGGCCATTTTGGGCCTGTTTTCAAGACAACCYYTGKTTGAGCTTCARCGCCAGGGTCTGGCACGTTTYGGCATTGGCAAGAGCAGCCTCCTGGACGGGCCAGCACTATATAGGACTGGCTCGCCCTGCAGGCTGCAGGTAGTTGCTAGGTAGTTCCTAGGTACTTCCCAGGCACTTCACGTGCAGTTCAGGAGGCAGGAGGTAGTCTTCAGGATTCGGCAGCAGCACTCTGGAGGAGCGCTCCAGGAGTAGTAGTAGCGCTAGCAGTAGTCTTCAGCGCTGGGCGCTGGTAGGAGTTAGCAGTAGTCTTGGGCGCTCTTAGGAGCTAGAGTAGTACTAGAGAGAGAGAGAGATTGGGCAGAGGCCAGGGATACTTACCTGCAGCGCCATAGCCCCAGCTTCGCCTTCGAGGTACCTGCAGCACAGCGCCATCTTCACAGGTTAGTACCTGGCATATGAGAGAGAGAGAGTTCTTCTTCTTCCTCTTCTCAGTCCACCATCTCCCTCTCACCCTCTCGCTACCTGACTTCACTGCATCAGCAGACTATGAGAGAGCGGGCTTGGTGACATTTGGATCCAGACTCGACATTGGGCTTCAGACATTTTGACGAGGGATTATTTGGGACTTGTAACAAAGACTCGGTGTTGACGACACTCCCATCTCTCCCCCTCTTCTTTGTCTGTTCCCCTCCTCTTCGTCTGTACCTGGCACATTCTTCCTGTGTGTTGCGCCAGGCCCCTTCACACCTTGTGATGAGGATGATGTATGTTTGGTCTGCGTTGCGACATTGATTGGGCTAGTCATTGGTATTCTAGCATTCTGCTGCGCTGTCTTGCACTACGTGATAGAGGTCAGTCCCGGTCAGGTCAGGACTTGTATCTAAGTCTTCCACTGCGCTGTAAAGCACCATTTTTGTATGTATCCGGATGTACACTGCTTGTTGAGATTTCACTTGCACTGCATTGTCCATTCAGTCCTTTTCATCACATTGTGGATCCTCGGTTATTTATGTACATCGCCCAACTGGGCATGTAACACTGAGTGAGCAGTGCTTTTGTCGATTCTACCGAGCTTGCCCATAACCGCGGCCGTCTTCTGCCTCCTTTTTGTCCATGAACAGCATTCCTGAACCGTCTTAGACAAAAAGGAGCTGAGTCTGCCCATGTGGTCTTCTCATTCTTCGTGTCCTAACCTGAACCCGCCTCCTCCCTATCAGTTCCTCCTAGCGGTTCTGTCATTGGCACCTCATTTGTTGATTCCCACAAATAATGGATTGACTCTTATAGACTGAAAAGCTCACGAGAGAAACTTGTCTCCGCACGGCTCTGTCAAATTGCGTCAATTGAATTTTCTCAAAACCACTACTCTCTCTCTCTCTCTCTCTCTCTCTCTCTCTCTCTCTCTCTCTCTCTCTCTCTCTCTCTCTCTCTCTCTCTCTCTCTCTCTCTCT